GACAAAATTTCTAAATTAAAGACAAATTGATTAAGATTAAAAATACATAATAAATTTTAATTAAAATACTGATAACATAAAATTATAAATTAAAACCAAACAAACATAAACTAAATGCAAGAAAATAATTTTTAAAAACATAATATAAATTTAAACAATAATCTAGTACCCAGGATAATTATTTCCGGTTCCGCTAAAATAATGATAATACTGGGTATAATCATGTTGGTCACTTGGTGATCTTTGGTTTTCACCTTGAGATTGTTGTCCTTGAGATTGTTGTCCCTGAACATGTTCGACACCAACTTGTTCTCCTTGAGCTTGTTCTCCTTGATAACGCGATGCCCGATATTGAGATCCATGATATTGGCTTTGAGAACCTTCTCCTTGTTCTTCATATTGGTTTGTTGGTGCCCTTCTCCTCAGAATGATCGCTCTTTGATTTTCAATATACTCACGATTTGCTGGATCAGTTATAGAGTTCAAATCCGCGAATAATAATATAATAATAGAGAATTTTTTTATAGTATAAAATTTGGTATTGTGGTTGGAGATGAAAAAACTTTTTTAACACCAAAACACCAAATTTGGTGTAATTTCAACACCAAATATGGTGTCAAGGTTGGAGTTGCTCTGAATAATTAATTGGCTTCCTACGAATACAGTATACATACATTATTAGCTAAGAAACAACTTATTGGCCAATTGTATTGTTTCATCAAAAAGAGAAATTAAATAACAAATTATTTCCATGTTGGAAAAAAACTATCATATTCATGATTTGTTTGGAAAAATATGGACGTTTACGTTAAAAACGGAAACAGTAAGTGGATAATAACATTGTATTGTATCGAGAAAAGCCGACGTCGTAATGTTAAAATGCCACGTCATGTCAAGTTGTCAATGACAAGGGTGAGATTTTTCATAAATAATTGGGGGTGTGATCTTTAAACGTACGGGTTTCTACAGGTTGACACGTGTCGTAATATGGGAGGCTAAAAATATCCACGCTGAGTCAGGTCCATGCAAGCATGCTCCCTAAAGATTCTGTACTACTTGTGAAGCTGCGACCACGTACTTTCTCTCTCACGTTCTTTATACTCAAGAAATTTGAAATTAAGAAACTAAAAGAAAATATTTAGAGATCTACAAATAGCAAGACTTGAAATCTATCCTTCTTAACGCCTTGATGCTATTGTGGCTCCTATATCTCTTTCTACTCGTATATTCCATCTTCGTCTCTAACGGTTCTTATATTTTCTTTTGATTCGTGGATTCCATTTTCGTCCAACGGTTAGTATTTTGCATCATAAGATTAAAAAAACTTGCTACCGATCATGTAAATCACAAGATATTTTTTCGTGTGTTTGTCTACATTCGCATGATATTAAACATTA